GTTGACACTGAGAAACCAGCCTTGTTGTCAAGAGTGTAGAGACCATCTACTAAGCTTTCTCTACCAATCGTCCTTCTAGAAGTTAGATCCTGAAAAACACATGAACTAGGAAACAGGTTACATTACATTTTAAGGAGTTTGTGATACTACTAATGGAAAGTAAATCGATAGGAAGTTTAGGTACATGCAATACATTATTAAGGCTGTAAGACTGAAAAAGACTTGGCTTGCAATGGAGGAGAATGATCCATCTCCAAGCCTCACTTTCTCTCTCCTAGATAAAAAGCTTTAAGATTGAAAAAGATTTGGCTTACCGATCATGTGGTTGGAGGCTTGTGAGTCAATGATCTAGGGGGAATCAGTGGCAATCGAGACATGGAAGGCAGAGGCAACATTACCTGATGTAGACGCAAATGAAGTAGAGGGAGTACCAATAGTTGTGCTATTCATCTAATGTAAAGCCTTACCATAAGATTCTAGATGATCATGAATGGAATTGATGATATCCTCCTTGGGGTCAGAACAAGTGTGATGCTTTTGAGTAGTACCATTGGAATCACCACCATGCTGAGTATCTTGAGTTGCCACATTAGCTATACTATACTTCTTTTGGCCCTTCACTTGGTATTTTTCTGCCCAATTTAGCTTCCCTACAAGATCCCAACAAGTTTCACGTGTATGTCTGAGCGTCGACAATACACCACAACTCTTTTTTTTTTTTGATAAATGAGAGTAGTTTTATTAGTTCAAATAACGAAAATACAATCAGCCTAGGAGGAGGCACGAGATGTTACCTCCCCCGAGGACTGATCCAAATACACTAAACATGCCCAAGCCCGAGACACAATTACAAAGTAGCCCAAAACAGATCTCCCCTTGACACCCCTTGCTTGGCTAAACAATCAGCCATTGCATTTGCTGATCTACTGACCGACTGAAACCTGACAGTCATATCCTTGTCATCCATTTAACTTTCTTTAACAGATCCCTGTAGCCCCAACAAGTTGTTTTTGGCTAATCAGCCAGCCTACTACTACCTTGGAATCCCCTTCTACTAACAGATTGTTCACTCCAATTTGACCAGCCATCTGTATACCTTGTACTGCTGCTAGTGTCTCTGCCCTTACAGAATCACCTTTACCCACTGGTCCTAAAAATAGAGACAACATATTGCTGTCTTTGTCTCTTAGAATCCCACCAATTCCGGATGGCCCTGGGTTACCTTGGCAACTTCCATCAAAATTCAATTTTACCACTCCATCTGGTGGGGGTTTCTGTTCAACTTGTGAAGATTTTAACCATGAGATAGTCCTTGTCAATATGCATTCCTTGATTTCAGCAAGACTTCTTTCCTGTTCTTGAAATATTCTAGCATTTCTCTCCTCCCATAAAGTCCACAAGGTAGCAACTCTGATACATTTCCACATTAGCTTCCCTCTTTTTGTCAATCTCCCAAAAGCAGTCGGAGTGAACAACAACTTTACTTCGGAGGGCAAGTTCCACCTGCACCCAAATAAGGAAACAACCCAGTTCCAAATATTGGCAGCAAAGGAGCACAATATCAGCAAATGGTTACAGTCCTCACCCTTCACTTTACACAGAAAGCACTAATTAGGGGACAAACACATAAAAGGTTTCTTCTTTTGCAAGTTTTCCACAATATTGATCTTACCATAATAGGCTTCCCAACAGAACACTGCTATTTTGGGGGGAATTGGTCTTGACCAAACCTCTTTAATAAGGAAGACCTAAGAGGAGGGGTTAGAGCAAAGGGCTTTAAAGAAAGAAGCACAAGTGAATGAGCCAACCGGGGTTAGGGACTAGATTCTTTTATCCGGGTTAGGGGGGTCCAAACACACAGAATCTAGAAGCAACAACAGTTCTGAAACACAAAGAAACTCTTCATCTCTTAGCCCTCTTCGAAACCCAAAATCCCAGTTTAAAGCCAAAGGGAAAAACCGGGGGGAAAGGAACCATGAAATGGGTTTCTCTTTAAAGAGGGAGATGGAATAGAGAGAAGGGAAACGGTCTTTTAGGGGTTGAGTGCTCACCCAAGTATCTTCCCAAAAAAGAATGGAGTTTCCAGAACAAGCATCGTACTTACAGAACTAAGGAATTTAGGGAGAATGCCAGAGATAGCCTTCCAAGGTGTTGTGAGCAAAGCCCTTCGGGATACCCCCGCATCCCAACTTGATTCAGAACATCCATGGATACTTTTCACTACTTCATGCCACAACCTCTCCCTCTCCAGGGGCCACCTCCAAAGCCACTTACCTAAAAGAGCCTCGTTCTTACTCACCACATTCCCTAAGCCTAGGCCCCCTTCTTCTTTGCTCCGACACCCCACCTCCCACCTAATCAAGTGATCTTTTTTCTCTTCTCCAAGTTCCCATAAGAAATCCCTCATCAAATTTTCCAACCTCTTTGCCTCCCTTTTAGGAATTCTAAAGACTGACAAGAAATACAAAGGCAAGTTGGCTAAAGTTGCTTTAATCAAAGTAACTCTGCCCCCCACAGAAATATAGTTTCTCTTTCAAGCTGCCAATCTTTTTTCGAATTTTTCCACCATTGGGTTCTAGAACCTACTTTCCTTTGGATTTGCACCTAATGGAAGTCCTAGGTAGGATAGAGGCCACTGAGAGTAGGTGCATTCTAGCAAAGCTGCTATAGACTCCATCTCCTCTTTGTTCAAATGAACTCCCACAACACAACTCTTCTCAAAATTTACCTTTAAGTTTGATGCCCTCTCAAAGTGAATTATTAAATCCTTCATATTCCTTACCTCCGTCAAATCACAACCTTCAGAAAAGATTATTATGTCATCTGCAAATTGGAGATGGGTTACTGAAACTCTATCTCTACCTATTCTCCACCCTCTTAAAGATCCAACTTTGTCTGCTTCTGAGAGGAGTTTACTAAAAGCATTGGCGACTAAAGTGAAAAGGAAAGGTGACATGGGATCACCTTGTCTTAGACCCCTACTAGCTGGGAGAAATCATTAACTACCCTGTTGACTAGGATGGAATAATGGCAATTGGAAAGGCAACCATTTATCCATTTGCACCATTTATCCCCAAGCCCACACTTCCTTAGCACGAGTAGTAAGAATCCCCAATCCACCAAGTCATAGGCCTTTTCAAGATCTAGTTTACAAATATAACCTTGATGCCCTGATCTCCTCATCTCCTCCACACATTCATTTGCTATTAGAATCTAATCTACAATCTGTCTCCCCTGAACAAAATCTCCTTGCACTTGGCTGATAAGACAAGGAAGCACCTTTTTTATCCTCAATGATAAGACCTTGTAGCCACAATCTTGTATACACTAGTCACCAAACTAATAGGTCTAAAATCCTTTGGATGCTTGGCATCTTTCTTCTTGGGAATTAAGGCTAAAAAAGTAGCATTAATTCCACGACTCATCACTGGATTATCCTCAAATTCCTTAAAAACTTCAATTAAATCTTCTTTGACTACGTCCCAACAATCTTGAAAGAAAGCCATTATAAACCCATCTGGCCCTGGTGCTTTAAATCTGTCCATGAAAAAAAACGACTTTTCTAATTTCTTCCTCCTCAAAATTCCTTTCCAGCAAGCTTTTACAACTTGTCCTTATCATTATTCTTCTTAGACTCACTCTTCTTTATCACATTAGTGATGCCTTTTGTAGCTAAAGCCATCTTCTGCTCCTCCTCAGTTGTAACCATCACACTTCATCTACTTTCCTTGGACTGGTTCAAGGCATACACTTCTTGAGTTGAAGGCAACTCACTCCTTCCTAAGGTCTAAACTCTGAGGGGCTCATACACAGAATTTAGCCCCAACAAGAAGGTAAAGATCCCTGCTGAGAGACTAGCTTCTTATAAGCCTTGGCATCATCATGCATCCACTCTATACTCTGGTAATGATTTAACTCCTTCCATACTGAAGTAAGAGCTGAATAGTATGCTAACAAACTATGACCACCCTATTTACAAGTCGTGGGTTCAGCTTGTAACTGATAAATTTTGCATAATGTATTTGCTCAGAATATGTTGTTCTAGCTTGTTCCCAAATTTCACTAGCAGTTTCTGCTCACATAAAGTCCTTCCTTACATCAGGTTCCATGGTTATAAGAAGCCAAGACATCACCATATTATTCTCCTGGTCCCACCTATGATGTTTAGCAGTCCCATTCTTAGGCTCTTTTATCTTCCCATTAATCTTTCCCTCTTGCAGTTATGTAGAGTTTCACACCCTTAGAGCACTCTAGATAATTCAGGCCATTTAAGGGAGTAATTGGCATTATCATCCCCTACAGTGGCTGTTTCCCATGATGTTGTGATCCCAGAAGAAGTAGAATCCTCAAAAGCCATAAGGATACCACTCTCTAACATCCAGGACTTTAAAGAAGGTAGAAACACTGATTTAACTGTCCAGAAATCAATTCGGACTGCTGAGATTCAAAAACCACCTGTTCTCCTTGGTGTCATGATCAAGGAAGAACACAAAGACAGGAAAAAGACACTTATCTGATAAGCCAATTAGAGTTCTCTACTCCACAGTCCAAAAAGAGTAGAATTCTGGGGGACAAAAACAGATCTGAATGCTCTTAGTACCCCATGGTCAGTTCTGATACCATGTTTTCATTCAAGACTTGATTGAACAGTGAAAGAAGAAGAGGAGAGAAAGAGGAGAGAAGAGAAAACAGATTTTAGAATGCCAAAAAAATTCTGGGCTGGCTGCATCCCAATCTCTATTTATATTAGGCTGATAAAAATAAAAGCATTACACTTACAGATTTGTCCTTGGTGGTGGCCCACACTATTAAAAGAATATAAAAACTTAAGAAAAGAACATTTGAACATCATGTATGTTCAATCTTTAAGGTCTGCACTTTTTGTTAAAAGAACTTGTAAGTTATACTTTTCATTTCTGTGGATACAGGGTACAATATACTTGTCTTTTGTTGTTTTGTTCTATGAAACACACAATGATAATCTGGTTGAACTCCTACAGGGTTCTCAGCACAAGCCATTGGGTGAACAAAGTTCTGTAGAGGGTAAATCTTCAGCTGGACTAACCTGCTGATATGTTCTCTACATAATTTTGTGCTGCTATAATTAATTGTTCTGGGCACTGTCTGCATTGATTGCAGCTGGGACCCTGAATGGAAGCTCTGCATGTAGTGTATCAAGCAGGACTATGTGGACACCTCCAGCACAAGCCATGTTGAACCAAGGTATGGTTATGGCTGTTCCACCAATATCTGTTTCTGGTCCAACAACAAATCTGAATATTGGCATGGACTACTGGGGAGGATCTGCACACTCTTCTAGTGCTACGACCAGAACAAAACTGCCTGTCATTCCTGCTTCAGCAGCGTTACTTTCCTCTAGTGAAATGGTATCTAAAGATGGCATTCCTTCAGAAGCTTGGTTGCAGGCTTTCCCTCTCTTGTTTCATTGCTTCTCTGTATTCATGTTTCTGACACTTCTCCACTTTGAATTAGGATGAAAGGGAGCTTAAAAGGCAAAGGAGGAAACAGTCAAACAGGGAATCAGCACGACGTTCAAGGTTGAGGAAACAGGTAAAGATAATTGTGTTCTTCACACTTAATTTAAATGTGTTATGTACTGTTAGCATGGGGTCATCTCCTGATGGTATAAACTGCCAATTGACCATGTATTTTACATTTAATTTTTTCTTAAATTACCATTAGACAATGGCTTTAATTAATCCACTATAGTTAACCGTTGTACGATATAACTGGCTTAGTTTTAGTTTACTCTTTTTATTCCTTTTGGTCAATATTAGCAAATTTCTTCCTCTCTTCTATTAATAATGATTCTCTGGATCTACGGAATGACAGATTCTTTGGCCAAACAAGGGGCTCTAAGACAGAAAATGTTTTGGGAAAATCTGTAATCTTTTGCTGTTTTGGGATGGAATTTACACCCAAGCTCTTGTAACTTATAAATTTACATCAATAAAATTCTTTTCCTGCTGATAAAAAAAAAGAAAATAATTATTCTCTGGATCCAGGCTGAATGTGAAGAACTTGCCCAGCGCGTGGAAACATTGAAGGAGGAAAATAGTTCATTCAGAAAAGAATTGGAACATTTACGGGAGGAATGCGAGAAACTAGCATCAGAGAATGCTTCTCTTACTGTGAGTTTTCTTTTTTTTTTCTACTCTGTGGTCTTTATTTTTGTTTTTTGTTTGTGTTCTGTATATTAGAGTGGATTTTTTTGAAAGGTAAGGTAATATTAGAGTGGATAAATCTCAAATCACCCTTTACTTGCTCGTCAATATGTCTGTCTCAAGTGTGGGATCATTTTCTATCTCTTTTTGGCTAGTTGGGAACAGCTCTACAAAGCATCACAGACCTATTCATGTATAATACATTGATTGTCACTCAGAAAGAACATAACTGTTATGACATGGTGCAAAGACTGCTATTATGTCGAAAATTTGGGGGCAGAGAAACTTAGAATGTTTGGAAACACAGAACAATATCGAGGAAAAAAACAAAGAACAATGTATGGAGTCCTTAATTAATCTGACTAAATAGAGAACAACTCATTGGTGCTGGTATATGAGGGATTCAAAGGAGTCATGATGGATGATCTCATGAGAGGATAGCATTATGGTAACTATTTGAGTGCCGAGGGGTGAGGGGTGAAGGAGGTGGAATATTTCTTAGCTTCTTTGGGTCTGTTGGATATGGTAACTATTTGAGAGCTGAAATCATGGCTGTGATCCAAGACCAAAAACTGGTAGCACTGCAGAACTAGAGAAATTTGGTTATCGAGGGAGGTTGCTGGAATGCTGGGTAGTTGTATCGTGGTTATGTTCAGATGAGGAACCTCCTTGGTTGTTTTAGTTTTTTATTAGAGGAGCTAAAGCTGTAGGAAAAAGCCTGAGCTGCTTGTTTAGGTCTATTCCTATGTCTGCAAATGTGTTAGTAGATAGTCTAGCAAAAGCCTGGGGTTGCAAGGCAAGGTTACCTATGGGTGCTGGGAGCTGGGAATGAATTGTAAGCTGTTGTTATTGACAGTTGAAATCTGTTTTTGTACTGCCCCTGCTGTCTACTTTTGGATAGCATGGTTTCTGATTTTTATATTGATTGCAATACATTTCTGTTGATTATCAAGAAAAACTGTTTAAAACAAGAAAGTCTGTGTGGAAAAGCACATGAGTGTGGCAGAAATACAAATGTTGAGATGGGTGAATGGGAAATCCAGAAAGGATAGGATCACAAATGAACTTATTTGAATGAACCTAGCAGCAGCTCCAATGGGTGATAAAATGAGGGAATGTAGACTAAGATGGTTGGTCAAGTGCAGGTAAGAGCATCTACAGTATCAGGAAGAAAAAGTGATCTTAACAAGTTGAAGGGGACTAGAAGAGCTGGGGACAATCCATAAAGACGTGGGTTGTATTAGTGAGAAATGATTTAGGGGCTCACTATTTAACAGTTGATATGGCACTGAACAGATTAGAATGACGGGACAGGATTCATATAGCTGATCTCATATAGTTGGGACAAGGCTTAGATGATGGTGATATGGGAAGGCACTTGTAATAGAAATGGATAATAAAAGCATATGAATTAAAAGTGATTCATTTGCTAGGGGGGCCATAGAAAAGTGACTTAGATTAAGTCATGAAATATAGTGAACAAGTCGTCAATATTGGACAACATTGTAGTGTATTGTTTTACCTATAGAAAGGAAGAAACTGGTCCTTTGAATGAGGCAGAGAATGAACTTAAATAAAGATGTAGAGGAAACCTTGTTGAGGGAAGAAATAAGTTGGAGGTAGAAGTCAAGGGTTAGATGGATTAAGGAGGGTGATGGAAATACAAGGTTTTTTACATGCCATTGCTAATGGTAGGAGGAAGAACATTATTTTAATGTTGGATTTGGAGGGTAGAGTAATTAAACAACAAGAGCATATTGCAGAAGCCTTTGTGGATCATAATTGATATATAAAAGGCCTTTAAATGGAAGATGGAGTATAGAAGGTTTAGATTGGCTTGTTGTAGAAAGTTATTGTAGTGGTTTTCTGGAGAAGAGGTTTGAGCTGAAAGAAATTAAGGAGGTAGTGGTTTCCATTGATAGACCTAGGCACCAGGCTGGCTGGTAATGACTTTACCATGGTATTTTACCAAAATTGCTGGAATATTATAAAGGATGATCTTTTTAAATTTTTTAGGGAGATCCACAAATGTAGGATTGTCAATTTGGGTATTAATGCTACATTCATTGCTTTGATCTTGAAAATGGTTGATGCTAGTCACCCAAAAGATTTTAAGCCAATCAATTTGGTTACTAGCATTTATAAAATAATTGCAAAGGTGCTGCCATTGATGATCATGAAAGTACTCCCCTCCATAATCACTCAATTTCAAAGCCTTTATTCAAGAAAGGCAAGTTATGGGCTAAATTCTCATAGCTAGTGAATGTGTAGAGGAATAAAGATCAGGAAGAAGGGTGCTGTGATAAAGATAGATTTGGAGAAAGCCTATGAGCTTGTGGATTGGGAGTAGTGATTTAAAAGGCATGCCTAGGCACATAGGCGAGGTGCATTTTAAGGTATGTGGCTCACCTAGGTGTGTGCCTGGTGTGCCTTGTGCTTCAGCCCAGGTGTGCACCTTTTCAAAATTTGCATATTTTGCTCTTTTTTAAGCCTAGTTGTTGGGCTAGGGGCTTCCCCTTGAACCCCTAACCAAGCCCTTTGAGGCAAGCCCAATGAAGCTTTGAGAACCCCCTATTTGCTAATGTTGTTCATTCATTCATCTTAATAAAACATATTTTTAGAAGACAATTAAAATTATAAAATCATTTCTTTGGTAGGGATTAAGAATTTAAGACCCTAACATGGACTTGTTTGGATTTTGCCTCAAGGGGCTTGGTACAAAGGTGGCTCATTGATTGAAGAATGCAAAATTTTTAACCTCACATTAGCTATTTGAAGTAATGCAATTGGGGAAAAAATAAAGAGATTGAAAATTTCACATGCTTGAATATGTTTTATATGTTATGTTTGATTGTATTTTTAAATTTTCATTTTGAATAAGTTTTACGTGTTATGTTTATGTATTTTAATTTTAGATATTAGGTTTTTTAAAACATTTATTTTAAAATTTAACTTTATATTTTTAATTAATATTTTGTTTTATATTTTTAATATTTTTTAGTTTTTGGCTTTTTTGCACATTTGCTTCGAAAAAGCCACATGCCTTGCCTTGTGCCTTGCACCTTGGGTGCTAAATTCCCCTTATGCTTTTTATTTATTTATTGTGTCTTGCGCTTTTAAAACACTGGTTGGGAGTTTCTTCTTGATATAATTAGAAATTGTGGTATTGGGGATATGGGTGGAGTAAATGGATTAGGGGGTATCTGCAAACTTGCCATTTCTTTGGGTTTATAAGGGGTCTCAGGGAAGGTGATCCTTTATAATTTGTTGACTAGGCTGATTTCAAGGGTTTGATAGATTGCAATTGATTAAGGGGTGGAGTGTGGGAAGAGATAGGGTTGTGGTAACCCATCTATAATTTGTTGATCATATAATAATTTTCTTTTTTGTTATGTGGAGAATAGACAAAGGTTCGAGAATTTGAAGTTGCCGGTGAGATTGTTTGAAAAATTTCTAATTTGAAGGTTAATTGCGGCAAGAGTATGATAGTGTGTTTGAATTTAGAGGAAGAGGAGCTTGGATCTATGGTGGCAATATTCGGTTGTGAGTGTGATGACTATCCAATGAAATATTTAGGTTTAGCCTTAGGTGCCAACCCTAGAACCAGTAACTTTTGGACTCTAGTGGTAGAGAAGATGGGGTGGAGATTGGCGGTTTGGAAGAGGAATTACATATCCCTTGGGGGTAGGTTAACTGAGATCAAGTCTACCTTAGATAATTTTTCTATGTATTATTTGTCTGTGTTCAAGATGTCAAGTGATAGTGAGAAAAATTGAGAAATTGATGAAGGATTTCTTGTGGGAACCAATGGAGGAGAAGAAAGACCACTTGGTTAGATACTTAGATGGGAAAAAGTGAGTAGAAGAAAGGAGGGAAGCCTGGAAATAGAAAATATTAGTAAGAAGAACCTACCCTTTCTTGGGAAATGGTTGTGGAGGTTATATTATTTGCTTTGTGTTGTTCTAGGGGAATTAGTCTTTTTGCTTTTATTAGTTTGATACAAATTATGAATAGAGGTCCAAAAGCCCTACATTTTGTCGTTCAATTGTAAAGTTGTCTCTTCTCACACAATGTTCTGAAATAGCATGTGCTTAGTGATTTAAAAGGCATTCCTGAGGCATGCCTAGGTGCACAAGCAAGGTGCATTTTAGGGTATGTGTGTGCCTCACCTTGGTCCTAGGTGCAGCACTTTCAAAAGGCATGCACTTGGTGCATCTTGTGCTTCAGCCCAAGCACGCATCTTTTTAAAATTCGTGCATTTTTTCTTTTTTTTTTTTTATGCCTAGTAGCTTGGTACTGAAGCTCCGAAAACCTCATATTTGCTAATGTTGCTCATTCATTCATCCTAATAAAAGATTTTTTAAATGGCACTTGAAGTTCTAAAACCTTTTTTTATAGGGATTAAGAATTTAAGACCCTGATATGGACTTGTTTGGGCTTGCCTCAAGGGGCTTGGTACAAAGGTGGTTCGTAGAATCAAGAATGCATAATGTTTAATATTACATTAACTACATTCATAAAAAAAAAAACATCACATTAACTATTTGAAGTAATGCAATTGGGGGAAAACATAAAGATATTGAGAGTTTTACATGCTTGAATATGTTTTATATGTCATGCTTGATTTTATTTTAAACTTTTCATTTTAAATATGTTTTACATGTTATGTTTATGTATTTTAATTTGAGATAATAGGTTTTTTAAACATTTATTAATATTGTATTTAATATTTTGGATTTTTTGGTTTTTTTTGAATTTTTAGTTTTTTTTTTTTCATTTTTGAGCCCTACTTCAAAAAGGTGCGTGCCTCATGCTCAGGCGTAAAATGACCCTAGTTTTTTTTTTTTTTTTCCGCCTAGTGATTCTAAAACACTGGGTCATGCAGAAATGCAACCACTGCACTTGATCTTGTGGCGACAAACTATTTGTGCTTCCTTTAACTTGTTAGGTTTCCATTGACCATAGTA